GTGCGTGGTGTTTGGAATACTGCGCCTTTGTACGTCGTGTTTGTCAAGTGGCGCTTAACAAACGCTTCTCAGGTTCTGCGTGGGGCAAAGCACACGCTGAAGGCAGAACGGTAACCTCTCTTTTGAGGTTATGAAACTCGGGGGGTGGATTTCCTGCTCCAACCCTCCTCTTGCCCTTTGGGATTTATTTTTAACCTTGAACACTTTGCACTAGGTGCGGACTTCGGCCGTAGGTCTTCCAGCGGACTTAGTTAGCCCTGTGGTATCAGGGCACAGGAACTGGAGATCTGCTGAGTTTTAAGGGTTCTTCTTCCTGCCTGCCTGTCTCAGGATGCCAGCGCACCGTGTAGTAGCTCCGCCACTGCACTGAGCTGTGAGGCGTAAATAACCACGTGGAGACGGCACAACGGATGCTTGGGCACTGTAGCACTCAGTGTGGGTTTTAGTATCTAACATGGAAATGACAAGTGGGTGATACTTTAATTCATCCAGTTTAGGAGGAGAAGAAAAGTTAGGACAGCAAACTGACAGGCCAGGGAAAGATAAAAATATTGCAGAAGCTGCCTATAAATCATGTGGGGGAAGTAGGAGTTGTTAGCATTCAAAAAGCTAAAAGTCTCCATATTCAGATACGATTTTTAATATGCATGCTTATACTGAAATGGGCATAGCATTCCCCTAGGAGGACAGTGGGCTGATGTGAGTGGACTTCCTAGGCTGGGAGAGGTGGCTCAGCAGATTAGAGCAGTTTCTACTCTTCCAGGGGACCTGAGTTGGGTTCTCAGCATCCCACATCCAGATGCTCACAACTACCTACCTGGAGCTTTAGCTCCAGGGGATCTGATGCCTCGAGTCTTCATGGTCACCTGCACTTGTATGCACACACAGACACAAGCACATAATGCATAATTTAAGATAATAAAAATAAATCTTTTTTAAAAAAGATGGTTATCTCTAGAGTAAGGACTTGAATTACAGCAGCAGCTAGGACAATCTTTAAAAAAATTGCCATGTATCTATATTATTTGTTAAAACTTCATGGTTTGTTTTCAATTTAAAGCTACTAGTTTTTATTTTTTTATGCATCCATGTTTTGCCTGCATGCATGTCTGTATGAAGGTATCAGATCCCCTGGGCCTGGAGTTACAATTGTGAGCTGCCGTGTGGGTTCTGGGAACTGAATCCGAGTCCTATGAAAGAGCAGCCAGTGCTCTTAACCATTGGGCCATCTCTCCAGCTCAAAGCTACAAGTTTAAAACCCACTTTATTGACAGGCAGAATCCTGATAGAGTCCTCTAGTGCCTGGTGCAAAAAAAAAAGCCCAGCAGCATCCCTGAGGCCCCAGAGTTCTTCACCAACACTGGCTGTTACCGCTAAAGCCAGTGAGGGCATTAACTAACTGTTATTACTACTTAGATTCTCCAGGACATTATCGGTGGAAGATCTGGAGACTGACTGCAAAAGATGACATTATTGTATGCCTCGTTCTTGCTAGCTCCTGATAGTCTATAGGGTTGTAGGATAGGTGGGGCAGTTAAAAAAAATGTCACTTGAATTGCTTTCAATATATTCTTTCTTTTTTTTTTCATTTTAAGTTTTGCATATTCATCAGAGGAAAACAGGCTTTAAAAAGCTTTCTCAGTTGTATATCATTCATATACCACCTTAAGCTTTTATCAGTTTGTTATCTGCTACTATAATTTCCTCCACATGTGTGAAATTGAGGCTATTGTTCCATATGGAGAGTTTCCTGCTGTGCTTTTATATTTAGATTAAAAAAGGTTCTGAACCCTCACACTTTGTTGTCTTGTATTTGCTAGTATGTTGTACGATTTTTGAAAGTGATATTTCCAGTGTCTTTAAATCATTGTTATAATTTTTAAAGTATTTAGGGAAATATCATAAAACAGAAAACAGGTTAAAAAACGGTCCCCATTCTATGATCCACAGACAGCTACCCTGCGCTGCGCTTAAGGCTGCTTCCGGTTCCTCTCAGGTCTGCTTGCCTTTGTTTTTCATGTGGAATTTAAAAGTTTTCAAAGTCATTTCCATCTTGCCGTTGACGTGCAAGACCCTGTGCTTGTGAGATAGTGAAGGTATTCCTATTAGAAGCCACTGTTACTAGAAACGGCAGGGCCTGTTTGACGGTGAGGTCACCGAGAGCGTACCCACTATTTGAGGACTGGCATTGAATGATTCTGCAAATGCCAAGTCTGTGTTCCTTATGCCAGGTGTAGGTCATGCAGATTACACTTTGCACGGAGTTCTTGCAGGACACCCCATCCTCATGCAAAGATCTCGAATCTTCGCCTTTGTCAAATATTTGGGCACTGAATGGAGTTCTTAGGAGCTTGGTCTGACAGCTTAAGTGGGTCATGGATACCTGACCCCGGATCAAGGTCAGAGACCTGTGACTGGCCAAAAGGGCAGTGTGCAGATGAGCAAGCAGCGACCTCAGTACTTTTTTTCTTATCTTACTTCTCCGTGTTTCCACCCATCTCGGAGACCAATCTCGACATCTCCTCAGCCAGGCAGCTTCCCAGCTAGCCCCTGGCCTGAGTCAAAGGCTGGTGGGCGTGTTCCACGCCTGAGGCGGTGTGTTGGACCTGGTCAAGGCTGGGGAAACCAAACCACTGTATAAAGAGACAGCAGCTACCGGGCAGCCGGCAGCACGGGCTTTGCTACGGATCGCTCGCCTCCAGTCCGCTGCTGTGTCCAGAGCTGCTCACCACCCCGGAAAGATGGCACCGGTTGCGGGCAAGAAGGCCAAGAGGGTGAGTCTGCAGGGAGCCTGAGAGCATTCTCAGTACCACCACCAGCTGGGTACCCCCCAACGGTGCCGAGGGGTGCTTGGAGTCCGGCTGTGGCCCAGCATCCTCCTTCTTGGTGGCCTTGGGTCAGAGGGGACACCCAGAACTTTTGTGTGACCCAGGGCTTCTCCTACAGAGCGCACTATAGGCAGCCTCTGTCTCCCTGCACCCCACGGCTCCACTTCGGACCACGGTGCACCCCGGATGTGTGGGATGATTGCCTTCTGGACCCAAGGCACCCCCCGCAGCCACCTCGGAAGTCAGGGCGCCCCCTTCAGCCCCCTCAGACTCTCAACACTTCCTGAGTGCAGCATCCTAAAGACCAGAGAAGCTGCTCACAGACCCAGGGTGCAATTTCCTACCCAGTGGAGGTGGCCCTGGCTGGTGGCTTGCGGGGTGTCGGTGCAGGAGGGGCAGGCAGCTGCGGAGCCCGCCGGACTGGCCGACGGTTCCTGGCTCGTGCCACCTCCCACCCGACATCCCGCCAGCTGCGGCCAGGAGGACAGGACCGCGGGGTCGTGATGGTAGGTTTCACCCGCAGTTTGTCTCAACGACCACAGAAAAATGCCTTACACCAAAGATAGTTTCGGAAAAGAATAAGTAGAGTGATTGTAAGACATTGAGGAAGCAGGGCTGTTCACAGAATTCTAAAAACCGAAATGCCTGCGGGTCCCACTCCTAACAAGAAGCACGTTGCTGCTTCTCAGGGGCCCGCTGGACACAGGAGTTCAGGGCAAATCAGACCTTCTTCTGGGTTAGGGAGAGGAGGGATGGACGGGGAGGAGGGAATAAACTTGACTCTGATATCAAACCCAGCCACAGAAGACCCCAGGAGATGTCTGGGAGACAGATGGAGCCAGGCTGATTATACCCCTCAGTACCCCAAGCAAGGCATGTCGTGCTGAGAAACACCTGGGTGGCCCAGTTTGTAAAAGGAGAGCCGCCATTCAGAAAGACCCCCCCCCCATGGAAGAAAGCTAATCTTGTTAAAATTTGAGAAGGATGTATGGCTCGTGTTTTTGAATTACTGACAGTCCATTGATGTCCCTTGAAGATTGCAAAGAGTGACTCATCACATACACACACACACACACACACACACACACACATGGAGTTTGGCCCCATTTGTAGAACCATGGATTCTAATCCACTTCCCAAACTAAAGCTTAGAATCTTCTAATGGCATGTGGATGAAATCCCAGGAGAAAGGCAAGAAGATCATAGTTCAAATCCAGCCGAGCCTACACAGTGACACATGCCTGAAAAAACAGTAACTCTGTGTGTGTGTGTGTGTGTGTGTGTGTGTGTGTGTGTGTGTGTGTGTGTGTGTTGGGGGGTGCTCTTTAGAGAATTATCAAGAAACAAGTGGCTTAAGGGTGCCTCCCCAATAACCTTGTTTCTGTATAAATGTTAAAACAAGAAACAAGGGCAATAATATGCCTACATATTTGCATTTAAAAAATGTTACAAGGACACATATTCATTGCAAAAAGCTGGATAAAACACAAAGAACAGAGCCTGCAATATTTTGATATATATATTCTGCTAATTACCTAGGCAGATACATACTTTAAAAAATAAAATGGTATTACATATACTCCTTTGAAATAATTCTTCACACACACACACACACACACACACACACACACACACACACACACACCAACTAAGCTTTTCATAGCACATGCCACTATTTAGCTTAGGAACAAAGAAATTCTGATCTCTACGTAACTAAAGACTTAGTAGACTTAAGTGTATGCTGACAACCATTCAACCATATGATTGGCATGATAATTAAATCACCACTCCCCCTATTTCCAAAGATCAGATTTCTGGCTATGCTGTGTATTAAAGTGCTGTGGTACTAAATTTGAAAACATGTTCAGGGAGAGTTGTTAACCGCCACAATGTCACTAGTTATTTCCATCCAAAGTGAGTCATAGCTCATTTATGGGACCATTGTTCATGTGAGTGATACATACACGCACACACACACATACACACATATATATATAAAAACATAGGTATACTATATATGTATACATAGTGTATGTATATATGTGTGTATATGCATACATATACTTATTAATTTGTATATATACACACACATATATACTTGTTCATTTAAGATGTAGTGTTTAGACACACTGTAGTCATGATGAATATTTGGATTTCAAAATGACACATGAGCAATTCTGTATCTTTATAGCTGTTTGTTAACTCCCAGACTTTCAGACTAAGGCAGTAGGTAGCATACACCCCCATGTAATTTCCAGTTCCACGGTGAAAATGTCAACGGTTTCTGAGCACTTGCTGTCAGATGGCATGGGCTGGGGCTGTGGAGGGTTGAAATGAAGGAGACGCTAAGAAAATGGAGAGGAATTTTGGTGCAGAAGCCTGTGATTCCTCATGCTGTTTATGTAGCCCATGCTCTTTTCTCCTTTCTAAAAATCTGCAGATGTGGCTAGTCAACAGAATGTAGTAAGTGCGCACACACCAATGTATCCCTCAGGATTATTCAGAGCGGCCCCGCCCTCCCTCACCTCCTGAAATCAAATCTAGAAACCATTTAAGGATGCAAGTGATAAGGATCTTGAATAAATTATCCAGAGGCTTTCATTCCCCATTTCTAAAATCAGAGAAAGAGAACTTGAAGATAAGGTATGTTTAATTTAAAGTTCATGATTCTTAGACACCGCAAAAACAGTTATACCAGTAAATTACTTTCGCATCCATAAAACCCCTTTCCAATCCACTGTTCAAAATCCATCTCTTGCACCTGAGCACAGTGGCAGCCTTTCCACACCACTGAAATGGAGTAGCTATGGAGAGCGGACTGGAAATCGACTCCTGAACGCTTGCCTGTCGCTTCCCTGTTCTTGGCACGGAGTACAAGATGACGTAGTTACAGACCCATGGGTGCATAACAGATCTGCTGCTGCAGAGGACGCCAAGAACGGAGCCCGTAAGAGATTTGGCCACCTCTGTTCTAGCTGTCCCAGGTGTCGTGTGACTTTTCAGGCTTCTGCTGCAGCACTCTCTGCTACCCCCATGTCTTTGGAAGTGTTAATCCTCTCTCTCGTTACTGATAGAGGAAGAAGACGGGCCGGCATCCTTTAAGAACACGCACCCCTGGTGATGGATCTCAGTAGCAGAGTCTTGCCTAGCATGCACAGCTCCTGAGCTAAGTTTCCAGCACTTCTAAAAAAGACAAAAGATGGGCTTTCTCAGAGTGGCCAGAGTCTACAGTCTGTTACATATTTTATAAGGAATCAGAGGAAAAGAATTTAAGGATCCCAAGCCCTCCAATAATAAATGATTAATGAAATTGAAATCCTAATTGCCCTAATTTGCTCATTATTCATTGCTTATGAACTGAATTATTACTTTATGCCCATAAGTATGTAAAATTTAAAAATATAGATACAAATGGGAAAATTTTATGCTCTCTCTCTCTCTCTCTCTCTCTCTCTCTCTCTCTCTCTCTCTCTCCTGCTGGGGATAGAACCCTGAGCCTCGAGCATGTTAGGCAAGCTCTACCACTATGTTATAGATCCAAGTAATTTATCATGTGTACTGAAAGACACCCAGGCTCTGCACATACCCACAAACCCAGCACATACACATGAATATACCAATTTTTCAATAGCTGAGCATTCTAACTAAAGTAATGCATAAAACACATAATAAATTAATGTATATAATACAAATACATTTTTCTGATATTGATGCAAAACCACAGCTCTTACCTAACAGGAGTGAGATAGTTTATTCTGGAGTCACTCTGAGTGATTATGGCGCAGGTCACTCTAAATTCCACGTTCTAATATTGTACCAGCTTGACAAAGTTTTATAGTCATACAACAAAGACATTCATAAACGAAGGCACTCTTTAAATACGTTGGTGGAAACATTAGGGAGGCCAGTTACAGCAAAGCAGAGACACTCTGTTATCAGCCTCAGATAATATCTGACAACATTCATAGCCCTTGGGTTGGTTGGTAACTGGGGGTCTGTTGGAACATTCCAGAGGATTTACCTAAATGTCACAAAGATGTTAGGTCATGTACAGAGGAAGACAATTAATGGCCATTAAGAGGATGATTTGGCTCTGGACTTTCGACATTTCAAACTCTCCTCGTCACTGAAGTTTTCTCTTTTCTCTTTTCTTTTTTTAATGTATGTTTATTGCTCTATCTGCATGTACACCTTTATGCCAGATGAGGGCATCAGACCCCATCCCTACCCCCTACTACAGAAGATTGTGAGCCACCATGTGGTTGCTGGGAATTGAACTCTGGAAGAACAGCCAGTGCTCCTAACCATTGAGCCATCTTTCCAGCCCCATCACTGACCTTCTAGCTAGCCAGTCATCCTCACAAAAAGGTGGAGACTCATTCACACTAAGAGTGCTAAAGACACTATACTTCTCAGGAATATATTTGTAAAATCACTGAAGATAGAAAGTGTCTTTGAAACTCAACTCCCCCCTCTCCCTCGTCTGTAAATTCAGGGAATCTTAGAACGTTTAAACGCCGGAGAAGTTGTGATCGGAGATGGAGGATTTGTCTTTGCACTGGAAAAGAGGGGCTACGTCAAGGCTGGACCCTGGACTCCAGAAGCTGCTGTGGAGCACCCGGAAGCAGGTTGGTGCATGTTCCATTCTAACCTACGATAATGTGTGCTATGTTGAATGAACCTCAAGAGCCAACCACGAGACAGGTGCATGCTTGCAGTGTTTCCCATGCTTGCTACTGACCCTGAGCACTGGCAAGCATCGGTGCAGATTCACATGCTGCAAAGCACAAAGGCTGTCCCCGCTTCTACAGACAACCCACCACCTGGTCCCGGCCCTTGACTTTAGGTGAGTCTAGAACTTGGATCATCACCTTGTTTTCTGCCCCTCTCCCCCCTCACCAATCTCTGTGTGTTCACTGTTCATACAGACGATCCACCCAGCAGTTTGGTAAAGCCTGAATCTCCTCTTCAGGGAACTCTCCCCTTGTCATACCTCTGCCACCTACCCTAAAATTTACCATTACCCGGAGATGTCCACACAGGATGCGCTGACAACAAGCCACCTCTTGACGACCACCTCTTGTCTTCCTGTCTCTCTCTGTAGTCCTCCTGGTCCTCCATCTCAAGAAGACCCTTCATCTTTTGTTCCAACCAAACTCTGATCATTCTCCCTCATGTGCCTGTCCTTCTCTTATACATGTTAGGGTCCGTGGTACCACATCATGTCCCTCCATCGTATATTTAACAACTAGCTCAGTTCACACTACTGCAGCCCAGACCTCTTTGCAGTCATCTACCTGCCTGTCTATACCCATTCCATGCGCCTTATTCCCACTTGACTTTGTAAACCTCCACTCACTAGTGACCAGGAAGGAACAATTGCTGTCTTTCAAGGCAGAGGTCTCTGCAGATTCTTAAGTGAGAGGGAAGCATTCATCTTTATTTATTTTTTTTTTCTTTTTTTTTTTTTCGAGACAGGGTTTCTCTGTGTAGCTTTGCGCCTTTCCTGGGACTCACTTGGTAGCCCAGGCTTCTGCCTCCCGAGTGCTGGGATTAAAGGCGTGCGCCACCA